GGCAGCGTCGGAGGCCATTATTAGGATCTGAAAAGACCGAGTAGTTGTATTGTATCTTTAAATAGTTGAGTCGGAGTTGGTGCTGACCCTTGATCTCGAAAAAAAAACGGCAAAGCAAAAGAGGCTCCAGTTGATGTGATGGTCTCAATGAGCGGCATCAGGTGGATTATGTCAGCATGTTGTATGGCGGGCCTGCCCACAGGTGCAAGGCCGCGGTCCTCCAGGGGCGGTCACGGGTTCTGAGTTAATTCTGGGTTGGTTATGTATTCTGAATGGCGTCGTATTTAATCTAGGGAGAGAAAACAATTTAGGAATACCCAATTTACTTCCAAGTGCTTGACGCTGACATAGGGTTCGTGGTGGCGATAGCAAACCTTCCATAGATCGATCGATGACTGCTTACGCCCGAATATAGCAGTACTTCGGATTTTCAATATCCTTCAATGTTTCTTTTTATAAAGGAGAAATGGGATGAGCAGATATACAATATAGATGTCGGCCAAGTTCACCGTTATGCCATCTATCAAGACAAGATGTTTCCTACTTCCATTACCAACCTGCTTGTACCGTACGGTTTCTCTAATGTATAAGACCGTCCTAGTAGATCAAAACGACTTCGATCTGCTCATAAAAGTACGTATACTCATGATGTTATGTGCGTTAAGCAAATCTTGTATTAAAAACTATCATGTCAAAAATTCGACCAATTATATATGTAATGGATATCAAAAGACGCTGTGCAAATTTCATCCAAGCTTTTTTTCCACATCAATCATACCAGCAAATCATTCCCACAATGCTGCACAGAATGAAAAAAAAACTACCTCCTCTTTTTTAAAAATTCCCCGAGATCAAGTCAACAATTTATGCCTTGACAGCTTTCTCGGCTTTCTCCTCATCATCACTGAATGCGAATCTCGAGAAACGACGAATGGACTCTCCCTTGAAGTAGAACACATAGGGAATGGCGCAGCAAGCCAAGCCGATGAATGCCAGAAGCGAACTGGCCCACTGGTCGCCCAGACGTTCGTACATTTGCTCTGTGAACAGGACGGTACTGGCGCCCCAAATAGAACGAATAAAGGTCTTGGCTGCGAGAGCAGATGCTGCTTGATGCTGGTAGGTATCAACAAGGTAGTTGTTGGCAGAGTTATAGAGGAAGATAATGCCGAATCCAATAAGGAAACCTCCCATAGCCGGACCCATCCAGTGAATATTGGGGTAAGAGGTCCAGGCGAAGATGAAAAGACCAGAAGGAATGCACCAGCAAGCACCCATCATGGGAATCAGACGCTTTTCAGCTGGAGGCTTGCCCCCGCATGCTGCAGAGATCTTGAGGTAGTGCTTGTTGACAAAAGGAGCACAGCATGCGCTCATGATCACACCGATGGCCAGAGGGATAAACATGAGACCGGTGTTAGATGCGCTCCATCCTTTGCCGCCCTGGTAAACAATTGGGTAGGCAACAAAGAACATGTACAGCAAGCCATAGATGACGGACATGTAGAGAGAAATGAACAAGACGATGGGCTCGAGGAACAGAAGCTGGAAGGGGCGGAAAAGGAAGATCCGCAACTTCTCACCCATGGGACGAGAATCGAGCTCGGTTTCGGTGGTGTACATGGGGTCGTCCTCGGACTTTCGAAGTTTCTGGGCGCGCTTCTTGAGCAGAATCGGTGCGAATGTCTCAGGGACAGTGAAGGTAATCATGACCCAGGCGACAAAGGCCAGAATAAGCTGGATCCAGTAAAGCCAGCGCCAACCACAATTGTCAGCCAGGTAACCACCAGCAAGAGGGCCAATGGCGGGACCAATGAAAGGAGCAGCGCTGAATGCTGCCATCGGAACACCACGCTCCTCGGCCCTCCACAAATCAGCCAGAGTACCGCCGACTAGAGTCATGGGGGCACTGAAGGCGATTCCATCAATCAGACGGCAAACAATGAGAGTTCCAATGTTCTTGGAGACGGCACACGGGATGACGAAAATAACAGCGAGTGCAAGCGTCAGAGCGTAGACAGGTCGACGTCCGAAGATCTCTGACATTGGAGCAAAAACCATGGGTCCTAAAATAAGGTTAGAACTATACCAAGAACATCACACTTTCGTGAGTTACTTACCAACACCAAATCCAATAACAAAAACCGTAACAACAAGCAAGCTAACTTCACGGCCGATACCGAATTCCTCAATCGGTCCCTCAATGTCGGCAGTAATGACACTACTGCAAAAGGCGACGACAAAGCAAGTGAAGGCGACCACCATGGTACAGTACCACTTGAATGCCTTCGACCAGTTCTTGGGGTTCTCAGGATCGTCGATGGTGAAGGTCACCATCTTCCAATCTTCGATTTTGCCAGTAGCATTGGACTTGACCGGCTTGATGATTTCACCTGTTCTAGTCTCCGTGATGTATTCACGTAGATCGGCGGAATCAGTGACTTCGCGGACCGGTAGGTCGAGGTAATCATCGGGTTGTGCTTGTGCTTGTACATGGTTGTATTCGCCAGAGTCGATGGAGGCTGTCGGGCTAGTTGCGTTTGTGTGGGTCTGATCCGACCGAGGAGTCTCCATGTTGAGAGATGTCAGACTGGCGAGGGGGGTGTGGGGGTGGGACCCAGGAGAGAATGTATATGAAGTGTTGTAATTATATATGTAAAGTGTATTGGCGATGTGTGGTCACAAGTTTGAATGATTGTTTGGACCCCCTGGGGTGGCATTCTTTTATAACTCATCTCTAACAAAATTTGGTTCTGAATTTTCGACGAGTGGAGCATAGCAAAAAAAGGAATAAGGAACTATCCATGGATGTGAAATCATACCTTTTTTTGCCTACAAGGGGATTCTTTGATATCGGCCCGTACCCAGATTTGCCTGATATGGAATGGTGGCGCTAGCCAGATTAGGCAATATACTACGACGACCCTTTGGTTTCATCGCCTTGATTCCCGATGCATTTTCCTTTGAACTTTGACTATATTCTTCCGGTGAACCTAACTAGGTATAATACTAATGAAATTTGTAAGGGCACTTTAGGGGCTCTCTCCAGGGTCAGTCTTTTGAATTCGAGTAAGGAATATTATTGATGAGCAGCAACTGACTACTTGGTAGCCTAAGGACCTTCTTTCTTATACCTGCCTATCCTGTATCTTGTTCAAGGTATTTACCCGAATTCCAGCTTGGCATCACGCAAAAGCGGGTCTGCCTGTGACCACCCATGCGAAGCTCAATCAAGGAGATAGCTATATATGTAAGGCCGAGTTTGGAGAGGTCAAAGCATGGCGAGGGAGTTATAATATCTGACAAGATTGCAGTTTAGAATAGAGTAAACAGATCAAAGAAATCAAAGGTGTGTATCCGATAGTTGTATCTACCGGCGAAGAGATGATCTCGAAAACATTGAACTCTTTAGATCGGCTCAGGGGATATTATTGTTATGTAACATGGATATGTCCGCAACATACAGAGTCTGTTTCAGCTGACACGGCCCCTGGGCCGCAGTGGGGTCAATATCATTATCTTTGTGCTTTGCACCTCGACGCCTCTCAAGTCTGTATAGATCGGAACATATTACTCAATCCGGTATTTATGTGGATTTCCTTATTAGGAACCGAACTTCAGACGAGTCGGATCTCGATTCGTTGCCACCCCATTACTATATTGTTCTAGATTCTTGCAGACCTGGGCTTCTGAAACCACCAGTAGCATCTCCTACCGGCTGTGAGTCACGTTTAAATATTCAGCGGATATGTTTTGGGACCCAATGTGCATCTCTGGGGTTAGGTATCTTTTGTGTGTCGTCCAAATTAAATATACAAGCATTCAAATCCGACATCCCTTGCCACCACACAATTGGTGGGGATATGTGCCTCCAGATTTGTTTGGAATGTTTAATCATTATTGCCTAGAGACGGAGTATGTACTCCGTCCCTCTTGACGTGGGCTTACCCCTGTACCCGTAATCATAAAATGCTTGTTTTTTTTCTTTGCAATCTCGTGTACTTCAAACCACCTATGTACTTGATTTCCTCTGCCACTTCTTGGCTATCCATTTCCGTCTTAGTGCTCAGTCCTTGCCGCTTTTTGCTCACTGAGTAGTTCTTAGCTAGGAATAGAATCATCTTGATTCCTCCCAGTTGATTCCATAACACTATCCCCAAGCCGATCTCTACTTCTCTCCGCAATTCGGATCTACGCCTCCAGATCAGCCAGATTCAAGGAGCAACAGACCTCGTAGGGCCTATTGTCTCGCTTTTACTGGCTGTAGAAGCTCTCCACCAAGCTGTCGGCAACTCCAAACAACTTGAGCGTATCACCTCGTTGGACCACGCTGGGCTTGTTGATTTCCGTGCCCGCTTTGTCGAGGGAGACGCACGAGTTGTCCGGGCGATGCACGAAGGCTTAGGTCCCTCGCTTAACACCACTCGGGACACTATCGCATTTACCGAGGGACTGCTACTTGTCGACCACTGCATTAATACGCTGAAAGATGATGTACTGAAGTGGGAAGTTCAGATGATTGTAAATGTAATGCGGCCTATACCGTAAACACCTTTAAGAGGACCATTCATTGAGGACTTCTAGAGGGATTGAATTCGGTTTTCGACCCCCACTGGCGAGAGCGCCAGCAGTTTTTCGAGGGGGGCAGATATGAGGGCTTAGGTAGGTAGGCCTGATGGATGACTAAAGGAGGATCACTAATATCTTACTAAGCTCTGGGAGCCGATATACCTTATCTTACGTAGCTCCGACAGAGCAATATCATCATCTTGATTCCTCCGAGCAGATTCCATAACATATATTATCCAGTGTACAATATTACTAATGTGAAAAATCGAAGTTGTAATATTGGCCGTCACGTCATTAATACGCCGTGATCAAAACAATCATAGGCAAAGATATGACCGCCTTTCTCTTTTTACCAGTCGTGAGTGCTTGCCTATTTTACCTGCCTGCCATCTCACCTCCTTCTCACTTCCCACCCTACCTTCTCACCCACCATGGACTTCCTTCGATCCACCTCGGACGCCGCGTCCCAGTCTTTATCTTCTGAGCTCTCATATTCTGAGTTCTCGTCAATTGAATCTAAATCTGAGGATCCTCTTGCGCAACTGGCGAAGGAAGTGAAGCAGCAGCCATTCACCACCAACAAGAGCTTACGAAATTCCTTGGAACGCCGTCAACGAGCGCTTCAGCAAGACCAAACTCAGGATCAGTACCTCGTCTTCACGTCTGTCCCCCCGGCGCAATCTTCTAGACTGAGTGATGATGGGTCGCGAACAAGCAAGTACTGTCGATTCTTTTACAACGTAGAAACGGGAGTCTTGATCGCGAAAGTCATGCCGAACCCTGCACACGAACTTGCAATAAGATCATTTGATGAGCTGATTTCTGCCGAGCTGCGTACGATGAACGTCCATCGTGACGTAAGGCCTGTCGGCTCGACAACAGTTACGGTTGGAAATTGGAAAAAGGAGGCTGACTGCAGCTGGGCTCCGGCTTCGGCAATTGCAAGGCCGAGTTTTGTGGTAGAGGTAGGATTGTCTGAGTCTGCGCGACAACTTTCGCTTGATGCGTACGGTTGGCTTGTGACTTACTCCTCATCTGTGAAACTTGTGATTACGATCAACATCAACCGCAAGGATCCCGAGATCATCTTACACCGATGGGAACTTGTTCCCCGAGGATATGGCGTCCTTACAAGGTCATCCCTTTCAGCGTGTCGTACTGCATTCCTTAAATTATCTCGAACGAATAACACAACATCTGTTACCGGAGAGTCCTACATGAATGGCACAACTACGACTACTACACAGCTAGATCTACCCTTCGACAAGATTGTTGGCCGTCCTCCTCACCAGCCCCTAGAGAGAGACTTCGTGATACCCGGGCAAGAGCTGAGAACTTTTGCCGAGGATATCTGGAGTGCGCAGAGTTTCCTATAAGTCGTCTCGAGTCTATCATGTTCGTTGGCCACCAAGCGGCAGACCTCATGGAAGACGATGTTCTACTCACGAAGGATGTGTTGATTCGAAAGATTTCTGGGGAGGTGCGAGACTGCTCGAGACTCAAGCCAGGGGTCTCACATAATATCCGGCCTGGATTGCTGATGTCTTACGTTTATGATGATCATGATGACTGTTCTGTTTGTAACGTTACTTAACTATCGTGGGCCTCTGTATAATAACATTGCTGCTTTGTCTGGCCCATCTTTCTCCCTTCCTTTATTTTTCTCTCCAACCCTGTTGTTTTGGTTAAGAATGTACTTTATCAATCAAAATGTATTGCTTTCAAGCTGCGAATAGTGTGAGGGCTGAGGCCTGATGGATGACTAAAGGAGGATCACTAATATCTTACTAAGCTCTAGGAGCCGACCTCGGATGTACCTTATCTTACGTAGCTCCGACGGAGTAGGTAATGTGATCATCTTGATTCCTCCCAGCAGCATCTAATCACAATCACTAAGCGCTCATTAGACCTCACGTCTTTATCACGTGATGTAGCTGAGCAGCTCACTAAGTCTGAGCCCGGACTGAAATTTACTCAGTGAGCCTGACTCTAAGCGCCCTCGTAAAAGCGGCGGCAGATAAGATAGGAAAGCCCCATCCGGCAGAGGAAAAATGGTACGTATAGCTACCTATGTATAAAGTGTAACATCTGAATTGCAAATGCTAGGTATCATCCGACTATCTGGTGTATCTTGTTATGTTGAGAATTATTGTCAACAAAATGAGAGCAAAAGAATGTGCAAGAGCCTCCAGCATGTATAGCACCCGCAACAAGCCTTTGAATTATAGAGTACATATCTATACTTCCTCCATTAGTATGTACATTGGGCATACCGATTGTGGACTGGCCGCCTGGTGGATCGGCATATTATGCAAGCCCTACAAAGCTCCCATATCTTTAAATTCTGTGCTCCTCCCATTTGACCTTCGCTGAGAACTTACATCGATACCACAAGAATGAAATTCAAATCCTCTTATTATCGTGCTAGCTCGAATGTGGAAGATACTAACTTGTTCTTAAGCTAAGTTCTAGAAGCTTTACCAAGGTCTAGCTCGGCAGAAACAACTTGAAACTTAAGAGACCAAATATGTCTCTCTAAAGTTATTGTCTGCTGACACCTCTATTGAATATAAGGAGCTTTGAAATTGCAGGAGATACCTGTGTCAAGGTGAACAACGAATGAGGTGAATTTGTTATTCAGCTTCTCGACCGTTTTATAATTAAGGGGCTCAGCGGCCGGCATTTGTGCGTTGTAACCACTGTAGCTGAAGGTAGCTTAAAGAAAATTAAGTTGTCTGCAACTTATTAGAGTGAGCTCAAATTATCGCTCTTCAAGTTGCAGAAACTTTGGGGTATCTTCAGGTCTTCAGCGTTGCAAATGGGGTCTTCGTCTTGTTCAGGTGTCCGTGGGCAATACCCAGCTTTGAAGCATATTTTTGCATATCTAATTCACTGCTCACAGACCAAATCATCTTCATTGAGTTCACAACTGCGTTTCATGAACATACTGCTCAGATTTTCACTCAAGCTTCATTCACATTGACGAGATACTTTTAAACAGCTCGCTTACAAGATGATTATGACCAAGATGAAAATCCCAGATTGTACATGCAAAAGTCACCTGCATGTTTTATGGGTTTTCCGCCTTTTCCTGCCGTCTACCTAGCTGTAAAATTGAGCAAGGGGAGGATTACCAAAAAGTCTACTAAAAATACATCACGAGGCCGCATAAGTATCCTTGTCTACTTAACCCAGAAACTCCGTGGCTCAAAGTTTAGGAGAGTAACGGAAGGGTTCAGTCATGGGCGGGAAGGGTGAGCTGAAGGCCCTGTAGATGACATCTGAAGTTATCTAGTCTTTCAGTACATAAAAATGTCAGTGTTTCCTACGTATAGCTGATGATTGACGGTCAAATTGTACATTCAAATTGTATATTTCTAGCCCTTTGCTGTCCTAAGCTTGAAGGTGTTCTGCTATTGCTGGGTAGTATAAGAATTAATCAAACTAAGCCTAAGCACCAAGCAGGATGTTATAAGGAATATTCTAAGGTTGATATATATGAAACCATGCTACAGTGACTGGACATAAGTAATTGCACCCCTTGGCCCCACCGCCTTCACCATCAATACCGCCTTCTTAAAGCGCATACTGTCTATGAATAAAACCACTCTAAAATAGCACGCGAGATGGCTTCTTTGCGACTCAAATGTTGCATTCTTCATTTACTAGATCTATATGACTAGTCTTTTAAGTATATGCAATATTAATTAAGGTGATTATAGTAAATGGGAGGTTTTTTCCGGCAGAATATTTACGTAATATAAGGTATATGGGGCGGGGTGCAATTACTTATGTCCTTGTACCTCTCGTGTCTAGATATGTAGGTTTCTCCACTCTTTTTTTTTGGAGGTAATGTATGGGTACAATTTTTTTCTCTCCCTTGCTCTTAAGTAGATTAGAGGTTACCTATACCATAGGTTTTCACAAGCCAAAAAAATTCCGTTGTTAGGGTGATTCTTTGTACTCATTATTGTACTGAGATTCCCCGGGCCGATGTTCCTGTTGACTCAGTCTCCCTCAGCCCCACACGTTCCGGAGCAAAGCCCTCCATTTAATTCTCCTTTCAATACTGTCAAATGATATGAGAGAGCCTAGTAATTGTCAGATTTTATATTTTGACATGTTCTCATGAAGATAGATCAATGAATAGATGATTATATAAGAAAATGAGACTGAAGAATTTGTTGTAAAACTCTAAATCAGCTATCGGCACATGACCCAGCAAGATAAGCCGCAATGGGCTTAGGGCGGGGGAAACTCATTTCTCTTACAAAAAAAAAGGCGATAGAGTCATCGCCGGCCTCTTCTAGCGATCTTCTCAAGTCTACTTGAGAGAGGCACTCGAGCCACCTTCAATACCAGGAGAATCACTTCCGGTCTCCTGTGTCATACCTGACTAATTGGGAGAATCCCCAATTTGCTTCACGATGACTTCTACCGATACCTATCTGGCCATCCCAGGCTCTGTTGCCTTTTCCCACTCCCGGGGTCATGCTATTGCTACCAGCATTGGTGTCAAGGACGTCCGAGCTCAGTGGGTCCACTATGTGCATACCACCCAGCCCTTGGACGAGCCCCAGCGTGCGGTACTCGAACAATTGCTTCAGTACGGCGATATCACAGACATCCCTCCTACCTTCGAATCCACCGACGGTCAATTCGATACCTTCTACATTTACCCACGAACCGGTACCGTCTCACCATGGAGCTCCCAGGCAACAGGCATTGCGCACGTCTGTGGCCTGCAGAAGTACGTTAAGCGCATTGAACGGGGTATGAAGATCTCATGTCTTCGTAACGGTGCGGAGGACTACAAGCCGGAGTACATGGATACGCTTCATGATCGGATGACTCAGATCATTGGCAAGGATGAGCCCGAGTTGAGCCTCATGTTCTCCGAGCACACTCCCCAACCCCTCAAGACCATCTCCCTCCAGGGCGGTACCAAATCCCCCAAAGAGATCCTCCAAGAGGCAAATACCGAACTCGGTTTGGCTCTTGATGATTCGGAAATTGATTATCTGGCTGAGGCCTACGGTCCGAATGGCGCAATTGCCCGTGACCCCACTGATGTCGAGCTCTTCATGTTCGCTCAGGTCAACTCGGAGCATTGCCGACACAAGCAGTTCAATGCCTCTTGGGTGATTGATGGCAAACCCATGCCAAATAGTCTGTTTGCCATGATCCGCAACACACACAAGAAGCATCCCGAGCACACCATCAGTGCCTACAGTGACAATGCTGCCGTGCTGGAGGGCCCCGAGGCCGCGTTCTGGGCCCCCGATCCAACCACCGGACAGTGGATGCACACCAAGGAAGTTGTGCACTTCCTGGCCAAGGTTGAAACCCACAACCACCCCACTGCCGTTTCACCTTACCCCGGTGCGGCTACGGGATCCGGCGGAGAGATCCGTGATGAGGGTGCCGTCGGTCGTGGCTCGCGCCCCAAGGCCGGTCTCGCCGGCTACTGTGTGTCAGACCTTTTGATTCCTGGTTTGAGACAGCCATGGGAGCTCGATGTCGGCAAGCCAAACCACATCGCCAGCAGCTTGGATATCATGTTGGAGGCGCCCATTGGTAGCGCTGCTTTCAACAACGAGTTTGGCCGCCCCTGCATTGGTGGATATTTCCGCACTTTGCTCACCGAGATTGACGTTGGTAACGGTGAAAAGGAAGTGCGCGGATACCATAAGCCCATCATGATCGCTGGTGGTGTTGGAACCGTTCGCCCCCAACACGCTATCAAGCACCCAGATGTTGTCAAGCCCGGTGCTTTCCTTGTAGTGCTTGGTGGACCCGCTATGCTGATTGGCCTGGGAGGAGGTGCTGCCTCCAGTATCGCTTCTGGTGAGGGATCCGCTGAGCTCGATTTTGCCAGTGTTCAGAGAGGCAATGCCGAAGTTCAACGGAGAGCTCAAGAGGTTATCAACGCCTGTGTGGCCATGGGAGACAACAACCCCATCAAGTTCATCCACGATGTTGGTGCCGGTGGCCTGTCCAACGCCCTTCCTGAGCTGATTCATGATTCGGGCTTGGGAGCTACCTTTGAGCTTCGTGAAATCGATAACACCGACCGTGGCATGAGCCCCATGCAAATCTGGTGCTGTGAAGCCCAAGAGCGGTACGTCATGGCTGTTGGCGAGGAGAGCATGAACAAGTTCACTGCTATTGCTCAGCGTGAGCGCTGTGGTTTCTCTGTTGTCGGTCGTGGCGGCGGTTCATCCGAGGAGGAAAAAAGACTCATTCTCCTTGACCGAGAGTCCAAGGAGTACCCGGCCCCCATTGACCTTCCTTTGTCTGTCCTTTTCGGAAAGACTCCTCGCATGACCCGAACTGTCGATTCGCGCAAGCTGAAACTCCCCACTGTGGACTCTAG